GCTTTTCAGCAAGGTAAAACAGCTGTCGGCCAATCCAGGACTATTTGAAGATTAGAGAGAGGTTCTAACTCCCTAGCATGCTGTGAAATACCTCGCAGCTACAGACTTAAATACGCCAACCAGTTAATATGGGTTCCAAAACCCATACGGGATGCTTTGTGCTGTCCTGTAAGGTGCTGTGCTACTCCAGAAGCTGGGTTTGGTTCTCCATTATTCTGTGCTGTGTAAGCAAAGGGGGTGTATAAAACTCCCCCTCTGACCTGGTCCTGTCTTACATTGACTCCGCACAGGTGTGAGTAGCTACAGGGCAACAGATAATTTAGCCCATTGGCTTTTTGGAGGAGATTTAAACAAAGGTCTGGCCACTTATGACAATTGAAGTTGCCGTGGGACTTCCTGCAAGGGTCAGGGTGTTAAACCAGAAGCCTGCCCAAGTTCACCAGAACAGGTGAATGCATTGCACCTGCCGCATTCCCCCTGCATTAGCAATTTAATACGAGAATTGTCATTTCCTACCCTAAACCGTTACACAGAACGGTCGTGTGCTGTTAAACCGCAGCCAAGCTCCAACCCGGAGGTGGTTGCATTTCCACAGTAAATGAAATGATTCCTCTGTTTATACCCAGGGTCTGGGGGCTGCAAAGGTGTTACTAAGGCCAGAATTTCTGCTCTTGGTGATGATGAGCATGGAGGAAAGAACCCAGCCTGACTCTCAGATCCCAGGGGGAGTTTGCAGAGGTGGCAGTTAGCAAACGCATCTTTCCATGACAGCTGTGCACCGTGGATCTGGAGGGACTGAGACCCAAACCTGGAACTCGACTTTCAGAATCACTTTTCAGAGCAGAATCACACTTTCTGCTAGGGGCTGCCTAGCAACAGTTGCTAGGGTAGGACCAGCTTCCACTGGTACAGAATTAGCCGGCTGAGTGGGCTGGCTGCCCCCAGAGTCTGTGCTCAGGGGAGGCCCGAGGCTGGAAGAACAAAGGCATCTGCAGATCAGGAATGAGGGACCACAGCTGAGCTGGGTGGGAAGCAGGACTGGAATTGCGGGGCGCTGTAGGTCACCGCTACCGAAGAGTTTCTACCAGTTCCTCGCTTTCCTGAGCACTGAATTTCTCCTCCCCTGATGGTGGGCAGCTCCGGGGGGAGATCTCGCTTGGATGAAGTGCAGCTGAGCTGTCTCTGGGCCCTAAGGTGAGGCTGCTCATGTGCGAAAGGTGGAATCCGCCCTGCTAAGTGGTGGAAGAGGTGAACCTTCAAAGGAGGGTCCAATCCCTGCGGTAAAGTGTACCTTGCCCTGCCTGCCGGTTGTTCAGCATACACCAGGGGCCAGCTTCCCCCTGGCCTTGCCTCTTATCCGGTCCTCTGCAGTAGTGCAAAAAGAGCATGAAACACTGGAGTAGGATGGTAGCATTTCCCACCAGTAGTGCACTGAGGTAAATGCCTGCAGATGGTGCAGGGCAGTGCAGAATCGGGCCCCAGGCATTTATTATCCATTATAAAAGTACTAGAACAAGTTACTTGTCCTAGCCCACTGTAACTTACAACGGTCAGTGGTGTCATTGGAGTTCTCCTGGCCACCTTGTTAGAGCCACCGAGAACTCTTACCCGGCAAGGTGAATGAAACCGTGTGTCTGTTAGACAGGGAGTTTGGTGCTTGCTTTTTGCAGGGGTGCTGGGAGGGGAGGACCCAGCAAAGAGAGATCTCCCTGTTAGCCCGGAAGACCCAGCAGCAGGAGAGTTGGTTAGAAGGGTGTGTGCCTTTTCCAGGGGGAGACTGGAGGGGGG